ATAAACGTTCTATAGTTTTCAGAGTACAGATCCTTTACCTCTTCGGTTAGGTTTATTCCTAGGTATTGCAGGGGTTTTGGTGCAATTGTAAATGGGATCAATTCCTTAATTTCTCTTTCTTCTGCCTCATTGTTAGTGTAAGAAATGTAACTGACTTCTGTGCATTGATTTTATATCCTGCCACTTTTCTGAATTCCTGTATCAGAATAACCTAGCAATTTTTTGGTGGAGTCTTTTGGGTTTTCTACATAGAGTATCATGTCATCTGCAAGGAGTGAGAGTTCGACTTTTTTGCTGATTTGGATGCCTTTTATTTCTTTTTGTTGTCTGATTGCTGAGGCTAGGACTTATAGTACTATGTCGAACAACAGTGGTGAAAGTGGACATACCTGCCGTGTTCCTGACCTTGGGGAAACCCTCTCGGTTTTTCCCTGTTGAGGATGATATTCACTGTGGGTCTTTCATATATGACTTTTATGATATTGAGGTATGTTCCCTCGATCCCTACATGGCGGAGAGTTTTTATCAAGAAAGGACACCGTATTTTGTCAAATGCTTTTTCTGCATCTATTGAGAGGATTGTATGGTTCTTGTCCTTTATTAATGTGTCTCACACTGATTGATTTGCGGATGTTGAACCACCCCTGCAGTCCAGGAATAAATCCTTTTAATGTACAGTTGGATCCTGTTAGCTAGTATCTTGGTGAGAATTTTTGCATCCATGTTCATCAGGGATATTGATCTATAATTCTCCTTTAAAATGGGGTCTTTGTCTGGTTATATATATCTGTGAATATATATAGGATATATATAGAATATATCTGTGATGTCCAGCTGGTGCAGTGTGTCATCCAAAGCCCTTGTTTCCTTGTTGATTTTCTGCCTAGATGAGCTGTCCATTGCTGTGAGTGGGGTGTTAAAGTCCCCTAGTATTATTGTATTATTATCAATGAGTTTCCTTAATTTTATTATTAATTGGTTTATACATTTGGCTGCTCCCAAGTTAGGGGCATAAATATTTACAATTGTTAGATCTTCTTGTTGGATAGACACTTTTATTATGATATAGTGTCCTTCTTCATCTCTCCATTAATTTTTGGTTTAAAACCTGGTTTGTGGGCGCCTGGGTGGCTCAGTTAGTTAAGCGACGGCCTTCGGCTCAGGTCATGATCCTGGAGTCCCGGGATCGAGTCCCACATCGGGCTTCCTGCTCAGCAGGGAGTCTGCTTCTCCCTCTGACCCTCTTCCCTCTCGTGCTTTCTATCTCTCATTCTCTCTCTCTCTCAAATAAATAAATAAAATCTTTAAAAAAAAATAAAACCTGGTTTGTTTGATATAAGGATGGCTACTTCAGCATTCTTTTGATGTCCATTGGCATGATAAATGGTTCTCCAGCCCCTCCCTTTCAATCTGGAGGTGTCTTTTGGGTCTAAAACGAGTCTCTTGTAAGCAGTATATCCATAGGTCTTGTTATTTTATCTGTTCTGATACCCTATGTCTTTTGATTGGAGCATTTAGTCCATTTACATTCAGAGTAATTAGTGAAAGATAATGAATTTAGTGCCAGTGTATTACCTGTAAAGTCGCTGTTCCTGTAGATTGTCTTTGTTACTTTTGGGTTCTCTCTTTGCTCAAAGGATCCCCTTTAGTATTTCTGGCAGGGTTGGTTTAGTGTTCACAAATTCCTCTAGTTTTTGTTTTTCCTGGACACTCTTTATCTCTCCTTCTGTTCTGCATGACAGCCTTGCTGGAGAAAGTATTCTTGGCTGCATATTTTCTCCATTTAGCACCTTGGATATATCATGAAGTCCTTTCTGACCTGCCAGGTCTCTGTGTACAGGTCTGCTGCCAGCCTTATATGTCTAACTTTGTAGGTTAAGGACCTCTTGTCCTGAGGTGCTTTCAGGATTTTATCTTTGAAATTTGCAAGCTTCCCTATTATATGTCAAGGTATTGACCTATTTTTATTGATTTTGAGGGGGGTTCTCTGTGCCTCCTGGACTTGAAATTCCCCAGATTAGGGAAGTTCTCAGCTATAATTTGTTCAAATAAACCTTCTGCCCCTTTCTTCCACTCCTCACTTTCTGGGACTCTTATAATATGGATATTATTTCACTTTATGGAATTGCTGTGTTCTCTAAGTCTCCCTTCATGGTCTAATTGTTTCTTTTCTCTCTTATTTTCAGCTTCCTTACTCTCTATCATTTTGTCTTCTATATGACTCACTCACTCTTCTGTCTTGTTCATTCTCGTTTTTAGGGCTTCCATTTGGGACTGCATCTCAGTAATAGCATTTTTAATGCCTGACTAGATTTTAGTTCTTTCATTTCTACAGTAAGGGATTCTCAGTGTCTTCTATGCTTTTTTCAAGCCCAGCTAGTATCTTTATAATCGTTTTAAATTGTAGTTCAAACATCTTACTTATATCCATATTGATTAAATACCTGGCAGTGAGTACTGCCTCCTGTTCCTTCTTTTGGGGTGAATTTATCCATCTCATCATTTTGTCCAGAAAAGAATAGAAGAATGAGAGAAAAAACAATAACAATGACAACAGGAAAAAAAAAAAAAACAGAAACAAAACAAATAAAAAACTAGATCCTTGGTGTGTTTTGGTCTGCTTATTAAAAGAAACTAGATCCCAGAATAAGAAAGACAAACATATATATACGAAAATAAAATAAAATTCAATGGAAGAATACAAAAATTTTTAAAATATATAATGTATATATAAAATTAAAAAAGAATTAAAAAATAAAATAACAAAAAATAATACTGAAGGACTAGAGAATTAAAAAAAAACCCATGATGCTATATACTGGCTTCCCCAAGAGCTGAAGCTTTGCAGCCCCTATATCAGTTGTCCCTGCCGGTCTTCTAGGGGAGGAGCGTGTTGCGCGGATTCTCAGGGGCCTTTGCCCTGGTGGAATTGCTCCTTCCTGGCAGAGGCAGGGCGCAGTGTAAGCAGCTCTGGACTCCACCAGGTGGCGCTGCTTTGCTCCCCGAAGGCTTCCAGCTTTGATGCGCGGGATCAATATGGCTGCGCCCTGCTCTCTAGCCCGGAGCTGAAAATTCACCCCCCGCACTCCCTTCATTGAGCCCGCACCGAGAAGCAGTCAATCACTGTGGTCTCCCTGCTTTCCCTCGGAACTCTGTGTTCACCCAGCCTGTGACCAAGCGTTTTTATGTCAGGCATGTGACCGAGTTTCAAAACTCCAAACTGGACCGACTCCCGCACCGTGGCCCCCTGCGGGTCCTCCTGGGGGGGGGGGAGGTGGGGGGCGTCTCTTGTGCTTCTCCCGCTTGCTAGGCCCCTGCTCACAGAGTGGTTTGCCGACTGTGCAGCGGTTCCCGGGTTACTGCAACACCGACACCCAGCAGAAAGCCGGCGCCTAGACCCGCTGACTGCAGCCGGCTCCCCGCCCCGACGCCTGGGAGCTCCGCCGCTCTAGGCACCCCTGTTCTTTCTGGGAGCCCGGGATCCGGAGACCACACTGTCCCACCTGGATTCCGCCCCCACTCCGCCACCTGAGCACCTTTAAGCCAGGACGTCCCTGACTGGAGCCGACTTCTAGAAGTTCTGATTTTGCACTCTGCTGCTTATAACACTGTGCGGTGGCCTCCTTAAGCAAGCTGTCTCCGCTCCGCCATAGCCTCCGATAGTCACCCCGGATTCACGTCTCCGCACCTCCTACCGCCCAAACTGTGGTCGCTTTTCTGCTTGTAGACTTGCAGGCTTTCTTGTGTCAGATCTCCCATTGATTTATTGGGTGTTCAGAATTATTTGATAACCGTCTAGCTGATTCCAGGGACCAGATGATCTGAGTCTCCTATTCCTCCGCCCTAACTCCTCCCTAAGTTCCTGAATGTTCTGACCCTTCTCTTCAGATCCCCTGAAGACACATGTCTCCCACCATCCTATCACTGACCCTGAGGTCACCCTGAGGTGCTGGGCCCTGGGCTTCTACCCTGCGGAGATCACCCTGACCTGGCTCCATGATGGGGAGGACCTGACCCAGGACACAGAGCTTGTGGAGACCCGGCCTGCAGGAGATGGGACCTTCCAGAAGTGGGCGGCCGTGGTGGTGCCTCCTGGACGGGAGCAGAGATACACTTGCCATGTGCAGCATGGGGGGCTGCCCGAGCCCCTCACCTTGAGACGGCGTAGGGAGGGAAACTTGGGCACGTAGGGAGGAGCCAATGTGGAGAACGTTAGTAGGGTCAGGGCTGAGAGCGGGGGGCAGGGCCCTCTCCTTACCCTCCCTTCCCAGAGTCCCCTCCTCGGCCCCCCATTCCTGTCGTGGGCATCGTGGCTGGTCTGGCTGTCGTTGTGGTCACCGGCGCTATGGTGGTTGGAGCTGTCACGTGGAGGAAGGAGAGCTCAGGTGGGGAAAGGGGGTGCTCTGCGTTTTCTTGTCCTTCTGCAATGTTTCAAGCCCAGGTGGAAGTCTGTCCTGCTTGTTTGTGGGCAGAGCCGTCCCCACACATGTGCTCGCGCACGTGCAGCTCGTGGCTACAGTCACTGTAGTAAAGCACAGGTGAGAGTGAAGGACAGATTAATCACCCCAATGAATGTGGTGATGGACCCGATTCCCAGCAGTCACAGGTCAGAGGGCGAGCTCCTTGCTGAGGACAGACTCCACCAGGACGGTTGGTCTCGCCCTGCCATCTCTTTTCTTCCTGTCCCTGATCCTGCCTTAGGCCTGCAGTGACAGTTCAGGAAACTTCCCTGTGGTCCAGGCTATCCGTATCGTCTAGGATCTCGGGCCCTGCCTCCTCCATGGCATCTCATGGGATGTTTTCTTTCCCAGGTGGAAGAGGAAGGAGTTGAGCTGAGGCTGCACGTGAGTGTGGAGGGGGTGATCCCTGAGACCCTGAGACGGTGTAGACGGGACCCCTCGGGGAGCTCACCCACCCCACAGCTCCTCCTTTGGTTTCATCTCCTGTGAGTCTGACCACAATCTGTCTGTCCTGCCCCAGGCAGTGACAGTCCCCAGGGCTCTCTCTGCTCCTATAGGTGAGACCCTGGAGGGCGTGACGGGAGGAGGGGAGGGGGGAAGGGGCCATGACGGGGTAGCGGGGCTTCTTTGAGGAGGATACTCTGAGCATGTGGTGGGCTGTTGAGAAAGTCCACATGTATATGACTGACCTGAATCTGTTCACGATTCTTTTCTTTCACCGTGTGAGCCAGCTGCCTTGTGGGGGACAAGCGACGCAAGATGTGTTCACTTTCCCACCTTGTGACATCAACACCCCCGATTTCTCTTTCTGCAAAGGGCGTCTGAATGAGTCCATGTTCCTATTAATGTAATGTGAGGAGGTGGGGAGACTGCCCCCCTCCGCACACGACTGCCCCCCTCTCCACGCCACGACCGACCTGTGTCCTCTTTCCTCATCTGCTTTCGTGTTCCAGCCGAGGGTGAGTGGGCCATCTCCTTCCCTGTCTTTACTTCCTGTTACACTGAGCTACAGCTTCTTACTTCCTTGTTGAAGATAGGACTCTGGAGGCGAATTGGGTTTTTTCCATTTCTTGTCACGAGGAGTGGATCAGTTAGTGAAAGGAGAGGCTTCCTAACGTTTGAGAGAAGAAATAAATGGAAGCACTGAGAACCTTCCAGAATCTGCACGTTTGGGGTGCTGGGTCTGCTCTCGGTGGGGACAGGCAAAGGCTGTGAGGAGCCTCTTGTGGAGGAGCCTCATGCCCAATTGGTGCTCAGTTCAACGTGGGTGTGACATGGTCACTGCTCAGCTGCGGAGTCTCTCTGCTCTTTTGTCCTTGTCCCTCCAGGAGGACCTGTCCTTCCGGGACCTGGGATGACAGAGACTTGGACTTCGCCCAGACCTTGTCCTGCCTGCAGGACTGACCGTGGGCAGCAACGTTGTGTGGCCGGGTCAGCCTCGGCTCAGGCCTGGGTTGGGCCCTTGGCCTATCTTTGGGTGTTTCTTTGTTGTTCCTTTGTTTCTGTAGAGGGTTAGGCCTATTTTCTTTTTTTTTTCTTTTTTAAAGATTTTATTTATTTGACAGAGAGAGCACAAGCAGAGGGAGAGAGAGGGAGAAGCAGGCTCCCCGCTGAGCAAGGAGCCCAATGCGGGACTCCATCCTAGGACCCTGGGATCATGCCCCGGGCCGAAGGCAGCTGCTTAACCAACTCAGCCACCCAGGTGTCCCTAGGCCTATTTTCATATTCGCGTGGGAGTCTGGTCTCATTGAGCTTCGGGTGTCTCCTGTCTGACGGCGGCAGGAAGTGTTTGGCCCGGCGGTGTCTCCACAAGGCCCAGGGCAGCCCCCGTGCCAGGAATCTGCTTCCGCTCTGCTTATCCTTTGCTCCTGGACGAGATGAGGTACGGGGTTAACTTGCTTGCTTTTACTCTGAATTTCTCTTTGTGGAGCAGAGAGGGTTTCTTCCCCCACCTGACCAGCTCTCTGATTCCCTGTCACCACCTGGGTGTCCTCCGATTCATTCATTTCACGTCTGACACTGTCCACCTGGAGTGAGCATGCGATGCACCGGCGGAAGGACTCATCCTGCAAGCTTGCCCTCAGCTCACGGGCAGGTCTCCACTCTCAGGTTCCCATGTCCCCTGCACTGTTGTTCAAATTGGCTACAAAGTTGGGGGAACCCTGGACGTTCAGTCATTTGCTAGCACGACTCCTAGATCTCAGGAGAATTCCATGCTGACCGTTATGGTTTATTATAAGGATGCACACGAGCAGCCGGATGAAGAGGCGCAGGAGTGTGGGAGCGTGCAGGTCCCCGCGCAGGAGCCTCTGTCACTGTGGACTTGGAATGTGCCACCCTCAGAGCACGTGGACGTGTTCGCCATTTCAGAAGCTCTGTGAACCCCATTGTTGAGAAGACGTCATAGAAGCTTCATGACATACGCATGCTTGCTTCAGTCACTGGCTGTCGTGGATGGAGGTCAGCCTCCAGCGCCTCTCCCCGGAGGTCGGGGAGCGAGGCTGATGGCTCCAGCTCTCTAACCATAGCTTGGTCCGCCTGGTCCCAGCCCCCAACCTGAAGCTATCTAGGACCCTCAGCCAAGTCATCTCATTAGCATACTAGAGACGATCTTATCACTCAGGAGATCCCAAGGGCTTGGGGAGCTCGGGGCCAGGAACCAGGCACAAAGACCAAATATTTTTATTATCCCACAGGCCACGCCCTGGTCTTTGACCACAGATCCCTTGTAGCAATAGGACTGGAACTGCAGAGATGCTGACACGGTACCAGCGTCCCACTGACAATTTGCCCACCATCCTGCTGGAGGACAGGGTCTCCCAGGGTCACTCCGGTCAGTGTTGCCAGGTTCCAGAAGCAGGAATGTTCTCACAGCGTACGGCTTTCTCTCTCAGGCATCTGGGAGAATTGAGCCAAGAGACAGTGTCATCTCCTGCTCACACTTCTTCGGAGGGGTTAATGTAATATTGGATTTCCTTCATTACATAGCGAATTTATCCATTCCTTTACCCTCAGCTATTTCTACTCAGCATTTATGCCCAACTGTCTGCCTTTGATGGGACATTATGTGTGGCTGCTTGCTGGTCTGCACTGCGGGCTGCAACACTAGTCTGGCAAGCCACCCCCTCCCCCCCCCCCCCCCGCCGCCGCTCAGTCCACTCTGGTCCTAGAGGGGAGGGGGTCACACCCGGACAGAACTGGCGGGTAAGGGGCCACCAGGTGGCGTAGCAGTGCTCGCCATCAGCCCCAACTTTGCCGGATGCGGTGAAGGCACAGCCCTCCCCTCAGGCCCGTTGGATTTCCCACGTCAGGGTTTAACGAAGTAATTCCAGTGTCTTGCTTCGGAACGCGTCCGTTTCCGGCACGCGCGCTTGCATCCCTGCCCTGAGACTCGGCATCGGGTAGGATGAGCGAGTGCGGAGGTGAAGCACGGTCGTACCGATGTCCTCTCCCTTGGGAAGGACTGTAGAGTCACACTGGCACCCGTCCCCTACCCCTCCTCCTCAGATCCCCCAGGAAAAAGTGTATAGTGGGGACCGTCCTGTAGCCCCGCTCACGCTGGGTGGGAGCACACGCTTGTGAAGGTGTGGAAACCAGCACTTCATGCCTGCATGGCCCCAACACCCTGTTTTCACAGTGTTTCCATTGCCTGTTCCCATTGTCCATGAAGCTGTTACTCTGTCAGCCTGTCTCTATGCCCTTTGTGGGACATTATGGTTTGTCACTTTTTTTTTGGTGTGAGGAAATGTCACCGAGCATTCCAAACTCGTGCAGTATCTTTTTTTTTTCACATGTGCACCAACAGGCATGTATGAGAATGTTCTCAGCAGCACTATGTACGATTGCCCCAAATGGAAAACGACATATATGTGTATGACAGGAAAACAGATACATAAATTGTAGCATGTCCATGCAACAGAATATCACGCAGCCCCGAAAAAGACTGGCCTGTGGCTACGCCCTACAGCGTGGGTGAATCTCACGGACAGGGCACCGAGTGAAAGAAGCCACACACGCAAGAGTATGACTCTTTGTATGTGAAGTTGAAGATCAGGACTAATTTATAATGTAGAAGTCAGAGAGTGGTTACCTTTTGTGGTGACGTATTGACTGGGAATCTCTGCGAAGCTCAGCGTGCTCGGCATCTTGCTCTGGTGGGTGGTACGTGGAAGTGTGCACAGGTAAAATTTCACTGAGCTGCCCACACAGGACCAGTCCTCTCTGTGCGTTTTATTTTTTTTAATTTTTAAGTGAAGTCTAGCTGTGTTGTGTTTTCTTTTTGTTTTTTGCTTTTCTTTTTTTTTTTTTTTTTTTTTAATAGCACTCTGACCATTGCATCTACCACTGGGTGAGCAAAACCCAATCCAGAATACGAGCTCCTGTCAAGGCCCATTTGTAGCCCCTCGGGGTTACCGGTTCCGCTCTGACTTGCCAGCCACGGTCAAGGCTTTCCTACAGGGGACCGGCCTCCTAGCTCTCTGTACAGTTTGGTGGCAGCCAGAACAGTTCTTTTTGGTATTTTGGGCCACAGAGGATGCAAGTGGCCTATAGAGTTTCAGGCCTTCTCTGCGTTGCCACAGCCCGCACGGTCCCCTTATTTCACTGACTTACGTGGTGACCTCAAGAGAGGACGACACCAGGACACCCACTCATCCATTTCAATCAACTTCCGAACTCAGAAGGTGGTTCTTGTGATGAGCATCAACATGTCC